CTTCGAACAAGAGAACTATGCACACTGCACCAAATACAAAAACATTCTACAACATTAGTCACTTCTAATTATGAGTTCTAAGTTTATTTTAATCGTAACCCATATTATTGTACATTTTACCATATAAAAATCCTAAGTCTTCTATTAAAGATGTATTACCTTTCTCCGAAAAAAGTTATTGGAAATTAGAAATACGTTAATATTTCCATTTTTCGTATGAAATCGTATAGTAGTACGCGTAATGCACCAGTGTCGCGCCAGTTAATTACTCGTGCCGAGATACGCATAAGAATCAATTAAAAGTGAAATCGATATAATGCTAGAAAGCACGGCAAAAAGTGCCGCCTACACGTGCATACGTATGTAATGCGTATGTACGCATTCCTGCGATTAGCAATGCAAACGTGTTTTCTAGCACGTCGATTCTGCCATCAAAGAAATAGCAAAGATCGCCACGGCGTAACCGCTATGGTAATCGCGATCGCTGGTAAAATTGTTTTCACTGCCGCATTAAAATCTCCCGCGGGTGGAAAACTAATCGCAACGATCGATGCGAAGGCCGTGACCGCGTCAATTGCTTGGAAAGTGCATCGCGTTTATTCGTCACGTTTCTTTCACTCGTTGTTTTGATTTTGTCGACACGCTCGACATATCTCGGTTAATAGAGATATGAACGTCAGATAACGTAGCTGCTTAAGATATGCATTCTTCTTATCGCATATTCTTCCTCGCATTTTCTTCATTTTTTACCGTTTTTTTTTTGCAAATCTCCTGCTTGCACAAACAAATGTATGAATAAATAGAAGGATAAGTATCAAGTAATGTGGTTACTTAAGATGTTATTGAATCCTTTTTAAAGGAGTAAAAATTAGATAAAACTTAGAAAATTCTAAAAAGTTATAAATTAATTGGAGTATGAATTTTTTTATTATGTCTGTTAACACAATGTCTTGATATAAAATAATTCGATTTTATGATGGACATTAATATCATTGTGTTCACTTCAATTTTGTTTTGCAAAAGAATCATGTTTCAATGATAACCACTCTGGCCTCACTGTACTGTTTATTTTCATTAAGTTATTGCCAATTTACAGAGTTTAATGTTTATTAATTACATTGGTGAACAAGATTTTATTACAAAAAGAATGATAGATGATTTCGATAGGATTTTTAGTGCAGATTACGACTTGAATTACGATTATCTCGAGATGATCTGAAACCTAAAATGTTTCATCACGTCATATTTTTTAGTAAAACGTGATCAAAGTGTAAAAAAACCCTTTTTTGGCACTTTTTGAACCTTTGTCACAAAGAAATAGGACGTAATAGAATACTTCACGTGGGCTCAAATTAAAGCTTAAACCTTAAACTTTAAAATTATGAAGCCAAAAGCCACGTTACAGTATTGTGCAATAATGTAGCACAAGTTCTTTTTTGGGCGCGCGCCAATTCCGCTTTCGCATTTGAGAGTGAATTTAGTTACAACGGAGGGCTTAAAGTAAGCCTACATAAAATAAAATAGATTATAATAATGAGGTTCAAGAGACGAGAGAAATTATTTTATGATGAGACCTTGTAATATATTAGTATTTCAACTTAAAATTTTTAATTGTTCGTTCCTACTTTTTGTTTATCCGCCATTGCTTATTTTGAATATGGATACCAAATTCGAAATCAGCGATCCTGGAAATCCTCAAAAGAACAGTTTCGTTAACATTTTGATCACTATTGGTGTCATATTCGATTTGATCACTTGTATTGTGGTCACACTCAAGATCAAAACTGGCGCGTGTCCAGTCAAAAACTTGTGTTACGCTATTACACAATACCATCACATGATTTCTGGCTTTATAACTTTAAAGTTTAAGGTTTAAGCTTTAATTTGAGCCTACATAAAGTATTTTATCATGTCCCGTTTCTTTGTGACAGAAGTTTAAAAATGGTAAAAACGGGTTTTTTTACACTTTGAGCATGTTTTTCTAAAAAATGTGACGTGATGGAACATTTTGGGTTTTAAATTCGTAATTTACGGGAAAAATACTATCGAAATCATCTATCATTCCTTTTGTAGCATAAGAAAAATCAAATTTTGTCGACCAGTGTTATTAGTTCACAGAGGCTTCCGGCAAATTTCTAAATCGCTTTTTATTTTACAAACTCAAATTTTCTAATGAATTATATAATGAATTAAATAATTAAATTAAATTTTTTATAACTCCCATTTACAAAATATTGTTTTTTTCAAAATTTATTCTATGAACTAATATAATATCTAATAATAATATAAATAATAATAATATAATAATCATATATAATAATAATATAATAATAATATATAATAACAATTATTATGATCCTAATGAATAAAAAATATATATTAATGCTGATTTTAAATCACTCCTGTCGAGACTAGAATTACCGTTAAAACATGATTTTTCTGCAAAACGGATTGAAATAGTCTCAGGATCGATTGTTCCAATTTCTTAATAAATGAACTAATAATTAAATTATATGTTTGTCTTTGTCTAAATTAAAAGAAAAACAAAAACAGATATATGATTTAATTATCTGTTAATTTACTAAGAAGTTGGAACAACTAGTCCACAGTGATGTTAATATTCACCATAAAATCTGATTTTTCTATACTAAGATATTGTGTTATTAGACATATATAGCAAAAAATTCATACTCCTATTGATTTACAATTTTTACAACTCCTCAAATTTCACCTAAATTTTACTTTTGTAAAACTTTTCAAGCTTCTGTAATCTCCTAAGACGTAGGCTTCTAAGATATTTCTTTCGTTCTTTATCAGTCTTTTTTAAATTGTCCATTTCCAAATTTCCGCCAAATTTCCTACTTGCTTAAACAATTTCTGTTCATGTAACTTTTGTCATATCTCTAATATTCCAAGCGCCGAATGTCAATAAAGCACATTTGTAATTACAGATTTCAGCGTGACATAAAATTATTATACTCAATTATCTCTTCGCGAGATATGACATCTATTATTCTTAATTTTTTATCGATCTCTTTTATGCGATAATATTTTAGTCACGTTGTCAGCAAAGATCGTGTGCCAACAGAATCCGCGTGTAGGACGCCGCTATACAATTATACGATTTTCCAAATCGTTAATTCTTTCTTGCTTACTTTCATCGAGTCGGTATTAACGCAAGCGTTAAAAACACTCACGTTTAACGTTAAAAACTGGATTATAAATGCATCTAAAATGCGCATCAAGACTTTCTAACAACACACGTTATATCTTAAGAAACTCTCTAATTGCGGTTTAATAATAATAATGACCGTATTGTTTATATCACTTTCTCATTTGTCATGCAAAGTCTAACTTACTTCAATAAGAGTAATTAGAACTTAAGACAAACCGTGAATGCGGTGAAATATTATATTCATATTTACTTACCATAAATATCTCGCACGGATCGGTGGTAAAGAAAAAAAAATTTACAATAATCTCTCGATCGTTTATTTATATACAACTTAAAAATAATATAATATGACATATACATGATACAGGATAAAACATTCAATTATATTAACATTCTCTTTAGTCATTAACACTCTAAACGTTAGAAAAATCTGGTTTTCTTTCCAACCAATTTGTTGTTTACAGTTTTAATTAAAGTTCTCTTTTATCGAATTAAATTAGATAAACATTGTAAACAGCAAATTCTGCTAATCACAAGAAAAATTAGATTTTTCTGAAATGTCAATGACTAAGGGGGATATTAATAATTGAATATCTAAAAACAATATCGATAAAGTTTTGAAAATTGCGTTGTCAATAACATAAGGCAATTTAATACATGTAGAGGACTATTCAGAACTATGGCTATGCCTTTCATTTAGGGATTCAATGACCACCTGACCATTTTGAAAACAGTTGTTTTGAACAGGACATGTCAATAGATAACAAAACATTTTTCTTCGCATTTTTCTTTTGAGAGAAATTTATATGTAACCTTAATTAATTAATAAAATATTTAATTTAGAAATTAAAATATTATATTTCGAAAAAATTCATTGAAAGGAGATCGAATCTAATTTAGTCAAAGAATTCATAAACAAAAGGTATGACAATAATCTTGAGGTGACCTATAATACATAGGTATTTATGTATATACCTGTAGCCTAGTAAGATAAATATATAGAGAAAAAGATTTCTTTGAATTCAATAAATTTTATTGCATCCAAATAAATTGGATCATTGGAAAGAAACTAATATTTTAGCTTCTCAAATAAACCTATTCTTTAGTCTAAATAATTTATTGTTTATTTAAAAATAAGATTTTACTTAATTTTCTTATTTTACTAAAAAATTCGATAATTTTGTTTAAATAATTTTAAAAAACTTAATATTTACTCTAACAGTCTCTCTCTTTTTAATATTCCTTCGATTTATTTCCATGATTTTCTATCCAAATATTCATATCAATCATGCCGAGATGCGATCATCAATCCTTCTTCCTGACTACAGTTTGATTTCAACAATTAAACAGAAATTAGTGATTTAAATTTTAACTCTGACGATATACTTATAGTATTATACTTTTCAATACTAAAGTTATCAGTAATCGTTGAAAACGATAAATACAATAACAATCGATATATAACGGATTGACAAAATGTACATTAATAGAGACGCCACAATTGCTTGAATTTTTAACTAAATATCATATTGATTAGTAAAAATACAATAGGATTAGATTGAAGAACGAAATAATCTAAAATAATAACTTTTTCTCAATAAAAATGATATGATTTAATCCAACGTAACAAAATTTAAAATATAAGTAAATAATATACTATTATATACTATTTGATTGAAAATTTTCTTTAAATAATAGTATTTTCCTATCAAGCGACATGATTTAATCTAATGAAACAAAATGATATTTAATATAAAATTACTTTGATCAAATAAATTGAAGTCACATGCAAATAGATATACTAAATCTAAGGAAACCTTTTTCTCTGTATAGTATATGAGTTATTTAGCAATAACATATCACGTGAGGACAGCTTTTCTCATCAAATATAAAATATAAATATAAAAAGAATATATATATATATATATATGCATGTATGTATGTGTACACATACATACATACATATTTATATGTCTCTTGCTACTAACAATTTCTTCGTATGCGATTTAAAACAAACACGGGACTATCCCCATTTTGCAAAGTATCAGTTTATATAAAGAAAACCTTTAGACCTTCTTTATAATAATAATTCTTATATAATTCCTCTGTAATAAAAACGAACAATACTTCAGATCTCATGAATATTTCAAATAACGTAAAACGAAAAAAAGCATCGTCGATTGCTATTATCGTGTAGGTTCTTTCGCTCAAAGGATTGTTAACAAGATATCATATACAAATGTATTCGATCCATTCTCACACACACGCACGCGCCTCGCATGTACATACAACCTTTTCCCTAATATATGATAGTCCGAAATAGTTTTCGCAGTATCATGATTCATCTCAGGGATACTCATATATTCTATCTCTTACGCAGTGACGAATGCGTAAACGCATAGAGGTACGTAATTCCCGTCGGTCATGCCTCAGAAACGGAATATGATATAATGTTACTAATAAATAAAATTTCATCAAATAGTGCTCAATTTTGTTCGCGAAATCCCGCCGCGGAACGTCGATTTCCTCGTCGTCATCGTTTTCTTCGTCACACTGCTTCTCGTCGGCCTCTGCGTGCTACTCACTACCGTTCTCATCGTGGTACTGCTCAACTCCATTCTTTTCATTATGAACGCCGATTTCTTCATTATCATAGGCCTCTTCGGCAATAGCTTCTTCGTGGTATCGCTCGATGTGGACGCCTCCGTCATCGTAGTACTTTCAATCACCGATGGTTTTTTCGTTGTGCTGCTCGCCGGCTTTATCATCGATTTCATCATCGGTTTCATCGCCAGCTTATTCGCCATTGGCCTACTCTTCTTCACATCCACGATGAATTTGTCCGTCGTGCTGCTTACCACAGGGCTGTTGGTTGTCCTTATCAATGGCAACGGTATCTCCGTCATGCTACTTATCGGAGGACTCTTGGTCGTCACGATCAATGGCAACGTTTTCTCGGTCAAATTACTAGTCGTCGAGCTCTTCGTAGTCGGACTTTTCGTCATAGTCGAGCTCTTCGTCGTAGTCGGGCTCTTCGTCGTAGTCGGGCTCTTCGTCGTAGTCGGGCTCTTCGTCGTAGTCGGGCCCTTCGTGGTGACGTCCAATAATCTCATACTTTCAATTGCATCATTCTTTTCCATTTCTGAAAAGATTACAACGATCGGTTTAATTTCTGCGGTCGGCTGTGTCTGCTTCTCGATAACCTTCGTCGAAGTCTCCAAGTCAGGTATCAACGTGGGTTTTACTTGCTCGCATCCGACTTCCTTACTGGAAACCGGACACTTCGGAGTAACGGGGACCGATATACCGCGGCGTCTCGACGCAGTTTTTCGATGCCGATCGATCGCGCCTGCTCTCTCGGGCGAGCTCAACGTGACCTTACGTGAGGTCTTTTCCAAGCGCTCAAAGGGTTGTCTGGTTTCGTGAGAATCATTCTCAACTTTCGTCAGATCAGCGTACGCATCATGCCAATCCGTGTTCTTGCGCAGATACTCGACCGGTTGCCACTTGTCATCAGAGTGATCGGCTTCCGAGGAATCTCCGTGCCGAAGATTTGTCTCGCTCTTTTCTCGCTTCATCTGACCCCATATCACTTGATCATCGCCACGCTGCCTCGAATTCGAACCAACCTCGTTCGAGTTCTGCATTTTGTAACGCGACTGACGGATCGTGGAATGCTCGATCGACGACGATCGATTAGCGTAGCTCTCCGACGGCTTCCGATAAGTAGGGAAGAAAGGAGGTGGATCTATGACACGAAGAGCATCGTTAGAATCTGAAGTAATCTGACTGTCCTCCTGCTTCTTATAAGAAAAAGAGGTGAGCGAGCTCAAAGAAGGTGAAGTGTTGGCCGGTTTAGCGTGAGACGTCGAATATGAACTTGACGCGCTGTAAAGGTCGTTCGGTTTCTCGTAAGTTGAGGTGCTCAGCCCGTTGTTGAACTCTTCTTGTTTCCAATAAGGAGTTGGATAAAAGCTCGGACCGCCGTTAAAGTCGTTCTGCTTCTGATACGAAGGCGAATAACTGCTCGGCGTGGTGTGTACATCGTCCGGTTTATTGTAGGACACAGAGTAAGAACTTGGAGCACTGTAATGCGGATCGTAGGAGTTCGCATAAGACCCTGACATTGAGTCGGCGTTCTTAAACTGTGCGTATGGACTGGTGTACAAGCTGGGACCGGTGAGAACGTCACTTGGCACTTTGTACGTGTCCTCGTAAGAAAGAGGAGAGTTAGATTCGATGTGTTCGACAGGGTGTTCAAGAGGATACTGTGGGGCGATTTGTCGAAGAGGCAAGCGATACGTGTTCAACTCATACGAGGTTCCCGGTGGGTCCTTCGAATCGTCGTTCTCGATTGCCGTTGTTGAGTCGTTCAACAACTGCTTCACCTGGTTCACCGCGTCTTCACCCGCCTGGTAGTATGAGTTCGACCCGCCGAAGAACAGGTTCTCGGAATTCTCCAAGTTCAACTCCGCAAACGGATTTTTGTTCTTCTCCTCTCCGTTCAAAAAGCCGTCCTTGCTGCTCGTGCCAACACTATGAATATCCTTCAGCGAACTGTTTAGGTTCAAGAAAGACGATTTGCCCAACTGCGGAACTTGAACTTTACCGGAAGTGTGATTAACACTTCGAGGCAAATAGCGAGTAGAAGCAAACACCGCATCGGACAAAACAGTGTGTTGGCTCTTCAAGAGCACGGCTGCAGGATCGATAATAGGTGGAATCGGAATGATAGAGTCGTGTTTAGGCTCCACGTCGATCACAGGAACCGGTACTTGGGTGATAAAACGTACCATCACTTGACTTGATTCAACCGGCTCCATCAGTCGTAGATAGATCTTGCGTATCGATCCTGGCACGTTGATAGGACCTATCAACGGGCCTGGCTCGTTTTTCGGCGGATTGAGCAACTGACCCAGGATGTCTACGATGGAGTCGAAGACATTCTTCTTCTTGGTGACCCGAAGTACGGGCTCAATATGAATAGGTCCCTCGTTATGCTTCGGAACAGACTTAGTTAACACGTTCAGCTGATTATTTTCCAGCTCGTAGGGCGCACCGGTAATCGAACGAGTTTTCAAGCGTTTTATCAAACGTGGTCTCGAGTAACCACGATTGTAGTAACGATGCTGTTGGGGCTCGAGCAGAAATCTGTGGGCTTTTTTCGGCTTCTGGAATGTGTCGATCCATATCTTCGCTCGAGACTTTTGCGACGTGGAGTAGACATCGGGATAGATGTCGGGGATAGGATTTACCTTCTTCACGGTAAAATCTTTCAGCGTCAAATCCTCGCGCAATCCGGTTTTCTTTATCCTGAGGAAGTCAGTAATAAACAGACATATTATTCCAATGTCGAGAGAAAAAGATTCGATTGAAAATTAAATCAAATAATCTATGGAAACTTTTACTATGAATATACATAGGAATATATACTGAATATATTACTCATATTTCAAAAATAATGAAAAAGTTTTGTAAAAATAACTGATTAATCTATGTTGTATCTGTAAGTGACATAAACAATTTAACAATAACTTAACAAATTAACAATAATTTAAAATCTGAATCAAAAGTTACTCTATTTTGAGGTATAAGAATATTTTTATCTGTGTTGTTATAGAAATATATGATGTTGCTATCATTAGCAAAAGGAAAGATAATTAAAAAATAATGAGATAAAAATTTCAATTTTTGTAAATATCTACTTTAAATATTCAAATTAATGTATATAAAGTCTCCTAGTAATTTAGAGTTTACTTTTCTTCTGTAACTAATTAATATTAATTCAAATTTACTAGAATTTGGAATCATGAGCATATCTATATGCTACTATTCTAAATAACATATATATTTTTTATATTTAATATTTATAGTATATATTTATTTATAGAATATTCGCATCCAAAAAATCTTATTGAGTGTATTATATAAGTTAGAAATAATAATATATAGTAATATAAAGTAAAGTGAATTAACTATAAAACATGATAGTAAAAATATGTTGTTACTCAACTGTATCATATATTTATATATGTACCACATATTTTTACATCATATATTTTTATAAAAATAGAAATATTAATGTATTTATAATTTCCAACGACTTCTTGCAGATACTATATAAATAATATACTCTTAATCCCTTATAGAAAAGTATTACTGGTAATTATCAGTAGTGATTAATCATTGCTCAATAATTCAGTGATTATTTAGTGTATTATTATATATAATACATTTTTTTATCTCAAATTTACCTCATAAAATAACTCAGACAATCTAATGTTTGGTTATTTTATTTAAATAATAAAGGAATTTAGTATTCTATATTTTGTTTCTATACGTGTGTCTTCACGTGGTTTTCATCTTGTAACGTCCATCAATCCCTTTCTTAGATCGCGCTGTTCGATGCTTGACATCAATGTTTGAACGGGAACTGGTAATACCAATAAGTTTTAACTATACTTTGTTGTGAATCATGTTTAACCTTTAAACTTCCGGAAAAGCTACAAAAGTGGCTTTCCCGGCAGTCTAAAGATTAAATATACTCTTACATTATTTAAAAGAACCTTATAAAGACATATTTGCTAGTAAATGTTGAAAACGCCACAACAACAAACAGAATGCGACTGATATTAATATAATATATAAATAATATCAGCGAATCAGTAATAATATGATGGCTTTTAAAATTTTAACTAAACATTATAATGAATTAGAACAAAACTGTAAGCTAATTTGAAAAACACAAGATGTAAAACAATTCATAATAATCATGAGACTATTTATATTTATTTTTCTCGTTGTCAGACAATAATTCGCACCAATAATTTATCACAAAAACTCAATAATACATCAGTAATATATAATATTATCACCGTCGTCATAATCATTTAATTACTTTGAAGTATTAGTAATTTTGTAATTCCAATACTCAAAATCATTAACCAATAGTAATAAAATTATTAAGTAATCTATTACTAACTAACCAGTAATACTTTTTTGAGATAGATCTTTGTAAAACTAGTTTTAAAATCTACAAAATAAACTCATATTCGAGAATAATTGTTGTCAACATATAGATAATAAAAAAAGGACTGCAAAGATCTGCTTACCTATTTAAAGAATTGATCTCATTGGCGGATACTGTCGATGATACATACATGCAAACCTATATACATAATGAGAATATATATGGCATAAAATTTATTTTTAACATATGCAATACTTGCAATAGCATCATATAAATTATAAATTATAGTACGTTTTTATTGAGCAATACTTTGTCAGAAATCTACTTTGCTGAGTTGCTGGAAAGTTCATAGCTGAAATTATTTATTTACTCTCGCAGACGAAACTTTCATACTTACAATATCAAATTAATCAATCTAATACTAGTATCACGCTTCCTTTAAAAAATCACTGACTGATCCGTAGCAACAATTACAATTTGTCAGCAGCAAGTGTATCATATTATTTCACTACATTTGAAATGCCAAAAATAATTTTCTGCTTTCTAACTATAAACTTGCCGAGCTTCTACACACGAAGCTATACTAATGGATTTAATTAGTAAGCAATCCATAATATCCATACAAGTTTGATAATAAGCTTGCCAATTTGATGCGATTAATCACATAGTTTGTATTTCGTTGTTCACTTTCCTCATTGCGAAAACGATAATCGTCGCCTGACCAGCTGCCCACTCACCGTGACAAAACACGTGATCCTCATCTCGTCGCTGGCACGAAATCCCGCTAGATCACCTCACCGATGTACTGCGAAGACGACTGTCGTGCGGCAGTATTAGCCACCTCTTTTAAAGCTTCCCCCGTTAGAACGGCGTTTGTACCGAAGTGAACTTGATATCACATTACTAGGCGTATATAATCCCCCACGTGTGCATACTGTTCGGTACGCTGGATGAGCACATATCGAAAGCAATTAGTTTTCTACAGTTCCTTGTTAATAATTATATAGAATGTCCTTTATAATTTAAAAATTATGGCTAGAATGTCCTTTATAATTTAAAAATTATGGCTGATAATAAAATTTGTAAACTAATGATTCTTAACAAAAAAATAAATAATAGTCAAATATACTGTGCTGTACAAAATAAATAATAAAAATAAATTCTAGTTAATAAAACAAAAATAAAAGAGAAAAAGAGAGGGAATTAAACACAAATTAATTCCAATAATTTTTGCAATTATATCAATCTTAAAAATTATATATAAAATGAAGTATAATTACATAGTTTGGTTAAAGAATTAAAAGAAAATTTTGAATTGAATTCTTAATAGCTTTTATCTATGTAAAAATAAATTGTACAAATGTGATAAAAAAAAAATTTTGTTATAGATTATAATTTATTTCAAATAATTTTCATAGACTCTTAATAGTGCTATGTGATTTAGTCATATAACTATAATTATAATATAAATATAATTACTTAAATATAATAATTTGAAATTATAAAATTACAAGAGAGTATTGTCTATGTAAAGACTTCGACACGTTTAATACCCAACAAAGTGCCATAAAATATATAATAGTTACCAAGAAATAATTTTCTTGAAATGATAAAAACTCATTTATCCATAATTACAGCAGAGATGAAAACACACAGATATGTAATGCGATATACACTTCTCGACTTATGGGAATACGAATATTTTAACACCGTTGTAGTGATTGCAATGGGTTTTACGTTCAAGAACACACAACTATGCAGCGAGCATATATCTTCACCGTTGAAAATCTGATCTTTCAGCTTAATGCGAGAGTAGTCGTAACAAAGGCCATTGGCTTAATGAAAGTAAAATCACTCGCACGCGGTTTTAATTGCGTGTTTTTCTGAGTTCTTCGATGCGAAGCGCTAGTTTCTAATAAATTATCTAAACATTGAAAGTTGTGCAAAATTAATTGGTCCTTATTTTTGATATCTTTTGATATCTTTTGATATTCTTAGAGCGCACTTGACATTAAACGTGGTCCGTTTACTTTTCAGATTTATTTATGAAAACGTGTAACATCCAATATTATTTAATCTTGAAATTCAACCTTAACCTTATGCCTAATCAATTCCTGTTGATTAAACGTATAAAAATCGATTAATTAATTAGAAATTTACAAAAAAGAAGAAAAAGAAGAAGCGGTTTTACTAAGAAGGATACATATCAAACTTGATAATTGGTGTAAATTAGATTCAGTTCAAAAACGATCATAACGGAAAAGGCGTGGTTATCGTACAGGTTACAGAACATGTTTGAAAAATGCTTAGATTGATATAAAGAAATGTATATATGAGTGTGTATGCGCGCACGCGCGTATATGTATGTGTGTGTATGTGTGTGTCAGAATTCTCTGAGAAATGCCTAATCAACATTTGTTCAATATTAGATGTGCCATTGCAATCGAGTGTCAATCGTACATTACCAAGCTCACTCGCCAGCGAAGCAGAATCACTCTCTCTGTGCGCTCATGTAAATAATCATAATGATACTTTCTCAAAAAATTGGCGTGTTAATACAGCTAATGTCTTAAAATCACTAACTTTTGTAACTAATTACAGTCTCTTTGGTTCATTTAGAGTCGGTTTTTCCTCAGGGGAAATATTGAGAGAGACCAATCATTATCACTTTCTAATTTATCAAATTACCTTTGTAACTAGTCAAATCATTATCGGCTATGAGCAGTTCCTAGAATAATAAATTATATATTTTGTTATGACAAAAACATAATACAGAATTATGTACAAAAATATAATTTAGGACTATATTAAATTACAAAGTACTACGAGAGACTACATCTTCCATCTAAAATAACGAATTTTAACGGAAAAGGATTCATTAATTGGATAGTTTATTTCATACATTAATTTAATTTTCATTATTTTTCCAATAACAAGATATAAATCTTGTTTTTAATTGCGTTTAAATGTGTGAATGTATTGCGAATGTGTGTAAATGTGAATAAATCGTTTATTAATCATGTGGCTATGCGTAAGCTCAGTGTGTCTTCTCTGATGGAAATATTTTGATGAAAGTACTATGAATTATATGAAATACATGAAAGTACTATTCGTTGGAAATTGAAATAAAAATGATTATAAACTTACTGAATATATTTCAATAGAAATTATAATTTTCTTAATGAGATGTATAATAAAATACTATGAAATATAATGAAAGTTAATAAATATTATTAAAAGGTAACGGAAAGTTTTAAATATTAAATTTTATAAATATAAAATTTGATGAATTTAACTAAAAACTGCGTTACTTTTCCTTAAAGATTGATTAATAAAAAATTACTAAAATATTAATGTTGATAAAATTACAAGAAATCTTATAAAACTAAACTAAAATTTGCAAAAAAATTGAAGAAAAATATTGAGTTGTAATAAATTTTTAATTAATTAATTCAATTAATTGTCTTTTAACTAGCTATACAACGCAGAATATAGGATGTAATTTAAAAGTACAAGCGATTTAATATATATTTTTTATTATCTTAAAACATACATTCGAGAATACATCGATCACGTCCATACTTATTGCTCCGAAAAACTAAACCTTTACAATTTTCTCTTTTCATTAGGAAAATTCCAACACTTATCTAATTCGAAATTTTATTGTGTATTAACACTCTCAGATTGCATACGTTTTATTGTAGAAAATGATGCTAACCGTTAATCGCTAATTACTAACCGCTAATCACCAAGTATCTATATATTTCTAGTTCCGCGTTTCAACGATAACTAACGTAATTCTTCCGAGTCAAAATTTTAGCCCCACCTTTTGACTTGAATTTTCTAACATCAGTATATTCTGCAAAATCAGTATATAAGTAAAATTTGCCAAGTATACCCGCTTAAAATTTTTTGTCTCCAATTTTATTGAAAACTCTAGATAATAATGCTAGTGGACATTTTTGAATCCTGCAAAGGAAATACAGCTAGTGCAACGTGTTATCAAGATTTTACAAGAACTCGATTTCTTGACGTTTTTCCTCGGCCGCTCATTTTCACATGTATGCAACTCCTATTACACTTACTTAATGTAAATGACTTTTAAGAGATTTTAGAAAGGTCTTTTAATAAAGTTCAAAATAAAAATAATTATTTTGTAACAAAAAAAATTTTACCTTAATTTTCAGTTTATATAATTTTGTGGAACTTTTTCAAAATGTGACCCTTTTGATTTTTTTTTAAGTGGATTAAAAATCTTGATTTTTTCCTCTTGAAAATCATGTAAAAACAAAAGTAGGACGAAAAATATTGGTTGAGTTACAGAACGTCGCGCACGGGCGCAAGTGCTGCTCACCCACTAGCCGCAGCGCTACTAAGTATGCTACTATATCAGCTTGATTCTAATAATACTTGATAAATTTTTTTTTCTTTTTCTATCTGATATAAATTCAATTTTATTTCCATTTTTCGATTGTCATGGATCGATTTAAGCATTCTAGAAAAGAAGTTCTATCTTGAGATAGATCAATCTTGAGATAGAATTTTAATAAAATTGAAGATAAGAAAATTTTAGACAGGTACGCTTGATAAATTTTACTCTATATGTTTAATATACATGGAAATTGAAATCCTACTTCTAAATGACAAAGAACGTACAAAAGGTAAGTTCTAAAAAGGGACTCAAAACTAATAAATTAAATACAATCAAAAGAGGTTGATGTAGGTTTCAAGCTTTGAAATTAGGTGTTAAATGAAATCGAAAGTAGGATCAAAATTTTAACTCTAGACTTCAAAGAATGAGAACGTCAATTAATGTTGCTAGAGTTTTTAATAAGACCGCCATTGTTGATTTGTTTCAATTCAACTGAAATTGAAGCGGCGTTTCCCGTCGAAGCGAAATCCATAGGCAGCGCTATTCGGTACACCAACCAACGCAGGATTTCGATACTGATGAAAAGACCCGTGAAGATGAGGCGGTCTCACGGCATTCTGTTCCTCATCTTGCGTGCCTTTCAAATAAAACGCCTCGAATTGACCCTCAGGCAAAAGAATATCTTTCAGGGACTTGTCATCTGGATCGTACGCCGCAGCGAAGATAATCGACGTGACGAAAAAATACAAAACCTGCAATAAGTGAAGAAGTCGAGAAAATATAAAATTAACAAATCCTTATATTCAGGATCAAATGTTAATATACGTATTAGAAATTTAATCTCGCAAAAAGAACATCCGTCGAGTCTTTTTAACCGTTTTATGTTGTACGAAGTAACATATTAGATGGCTACGATGTCTTATGGATACGGATTAGAAATTCAATCTCGCAAAAGTTTTTGTCGATTCTCTTTATGCCGATTTGACGCAGTAAAGATAATGGTACAAGGAAAATGCAATCAGTAAGATTTAAAAGTAAAATAATTAATTAATTTATCGACACAAGCCGATAATTTTAATATGACCTTAGATAGCACAAAATATTTTATGAACATTCTTATGAAATATGAATGTTTATTTCAGAATATTCGAGTCAGATATTCTATGAATATATATGTAATATTCTCTATAGGCAGAGATTCGTACACTTATAATAGAAAAAAATATATACCGCTTTCAGAAAACGCGATAATCTGGTTGATTAAATCAATTATCATGATATTTTTTAAATTCAAAATTATATAGCATAAAAGGGTTTTTATGCAACTCGAGAATTAAACAAACCGAGATTTCAATAAAGACTGAAGAGTCAATGGTGCGGTTATTGTGTGAGCGCTATTTTATATTCGACATTATATTATTACAAAATTATAAAACGATATATACCGTAGTATAATAGTATAACACTGTAATGATTATACAGGGTATCCCAGACTCTCTTCCGCAATTTTTGTGGGAACGTAGGACAAATTGAGATAAACATAAAAATCCTATACCGTTTTGCGATATTTGCAATAATAGTTGAGATTTGATATTTGAGGCTTTCGCAATGTCCATAAATATTAAATTTGATTTCCGGGTTTAAGCCGCGTAAATTCTTTTTGTGTAATTCCGACGTTTCGCGAACATTTTAGTTCGCTTTATCAGGGAGAAACGATTCGATGTATGACAGGAATGTCAGCGGCGTAAAACAATACGCCATACACGTGATATCTCAAGTACTCAGTTCGAACAGTGAATGAAAAAATACAATAATTAAATTGTAGTGACCGACTACATCCTGTAGGTCTTTCTGAACAAATAGTACGTCATGCATTGTCCAAATTTCAGACATCTAAAACTTCAAATTAATTTAAGATTATTAAATTTAGTGTATCCTAAATTTACGTATATCTTTAATACATTCTATGGAATATTACATAAAAGTACCTATAATTCAATAAAATATTTTACGTAAATTTTATATACGTAGAATTTATAATTGTATTATTCGAATATACTGTACCCAGACAGCACAAGATATGCCAAAATCACTAAAAATATGTCCAAGATGCCCAAAGACGTCCAGAATACATCTAAAATCTTAAAACGTCTTGTGCTATCTGAATAAACATATCCCTAACAGCACAAATCTCCTAAGAATCCTAAAGACCAGAGGACGTCCTATGTCTTAACGATGTTCATAGAAAATCCATAGAATACCGTATGCTAGGATTATGAACATATAAAATAGTATTTTTAGTACATTCTATAGAATATACAAATATTCATAAAGAATATATATATATATATATATATATATATATATATATATATATATATATTCACAGGACATTTACAGAATATTCCTGTGTTTTTTATCTAGGATAATCCTCCTGATAATTCTCAAATGTAATTAGTGAATTCACTTACCACTTACTTTGATTAAAAGATTTGATAGAGTTAGATAAGAGAAAATTCTATATAACTAAATCGTGTTTCTGATAGAAAATGATAAAATTACATAAAAAAATATATATATTTTCTGGTAAATATTTAATCGCTTAGTATAATATTTTGTCGATAAAGGTAGATATAAAACAAAAGAAATATTTCAAGAAAATTTGAAATGTGTGTTGTGTATATACTATCAATCCTTATCGGACTTTTTAAACAGTATAAATCTTATTGTTTTTTCTGTATATTGTAGTCATAATATATTAGATGACCAGCAGAAGTTTGCTAAAACGTAAAAAATATGAATACGTTCTCCACTATAAAAACCATCAATGCAATAAACGACAATTCCGATTCAACCGCAGTTTGATATATTCTCGTAGTCGAGAATGAGCCAATCACATTATTTCCGTAGGAATACTTAATTTAAACCGCAATAGTTTCTTGTAATTTCAAAAGAAGAGGAATGGATAGATGGAATCGGTTTTGTAGTCTGCACATTAGATACTAATATCAACGATAAGTAACAATAATTTTCCATAAATAGTACCGTTTAGTAACGATACATACGGTAAACATACCAATGAGATGCCTTGGTCATTCCATGCTATTATCGCTTTCCGTTCCATTTCGCCGCGTGCAATCAAGACACTAAAATAACAAATAATACGTTTGAGTGGCGTCGACAACAACTTGTCATTATAACTCTCTCGTTTCACTAATCAATGAATCAAATAGGGAAAGCGATAAATCAGGTCGTTCGTCCGGTTAATTGTACGCTACGCCACTTGGCATTATCGGAAATGTGTTTATAATTGCAACTAATGAGTCGTAAAGAAAAGTTCTTACGTTGAGCTCATTTGTGACGCGTGCCCACTCGTACTTCATACTGAATATCATTAATTGTAGGAATATAGGGTCATTGCTCCATTTGTGGCTATTTCAACAAATCTTTCGAATTATTTAATCTATAATTCATGTTCGCGTTACGTAAGTCGCAATATTTTGTTTTTATAGCGTTTCTGTTGATCAAGCTGTTCGCTAACGAATGTAAAATTTTCTTTCTTCTTTAACTAAATATTTACAACCAAAAGTATACGAATTGCTGCATTTTCTTATGCAAAACGTTAAAGATACGAAGTGAGATAAACGTTAGAATTATTGTATAAAAGACATGATTGTGAGTGAATGTTTCTATAATCGGCTTACGAAAAGTCTAAAAGTGAACCTCAATATGCATAATCACGTATTTCATTTCTATTAATAAAAAAAGAATAGGTATCGACAACTAAATCACGTATTAATATAATGATCCAGTTTTGGCCAGAACTGGTTGTTGCGTTGTTCGAGTTGTAGCCAACAAAAACAATGAATGTGTTTTGTGTAAAATTATAAAATTATATAAAATTATAAAATTGTGGCAATACAAAATTCATGCTCTGGTTCTTAATGGCCTTCACTATTGTGCTTTAAAATTATAGAAGTATAGTACAGCTATTTGTCTGGAAACAAACTTTATATATAGTATACATAATTCTGTGAATCACCTCACCTTGTGAAGGTCCTTTGTCAAATATAAATTTAAATGTAGAAGACTACACTTTAAGCAAAAGCAATAACAATTCTTCAAATATTAATATAAATTCATTTTTTATTGCAAATACTTTAAGCAATAATAACTTACAGAATAATGTAGACAATTTTCTTATAACTATTAATTCAGATTTATCAGTAGGCCAAATTTTAAACGAAGTCAATGAAAATTTGTCTAGTACTGAGCAAAATTTAGATAAATGTTCTATTTTAAACAAACCGAATGAGAATAATTTAAGCAATTATTTAACTAATAATATTAATAAGGAAATTTGTACAACTCAAATATCAGTACCTTTAAATAGCAGAGAAGAAACTAAAAACATTTTAGTTTATTCTGAAGTAAAATTATCAAAAAAGAATAATAAAAATAAAATACAATTATCTTCAGTGATTGCAAGTGATTGTTGGTTAGAGTTAAAAAAACAAGGAAATGATAGAAAACGATTGTTGTTGGAGCAAAAACAGAAAAAGAAAGTAGAATTATCAATAAAACGAGAAGAAAATATGAGAGTTAAAGCAGAAAAAAGGGAAAGGAAATGAAGAAAAAAGAAAAACAACAAGAAAAGGAAAAGAAAAAGGAAAAAATAATTACTAAAAAATTGCGAATCGCTAATAAAACAAGAAAATTTTAAAAATAAAAACTTTAATAGAGAAATTTATTAAGATAATGTTCATTTTTCAATATTTATTTTACAACTCTAATTAAAAAGTTCAGTTACTATTATAAAAATCTGCATAAGATATATAAATTTTAAAAATTCTTAATAGTTTAGAATAGAAGTTACTGTATTACATGTTATTTATATATACATATATATATATATATATATATATATATATATATATATATATATATCTTATTGAAGATAAATATTAACATTAAATGATTTTTATTGAATATACCTTTTTATTAATTGTTTCATTATAAATTAATCTCAATTTCATTACGTGGTCAGAACAGGTGTTTATTATACAAGAACTTATGGTGTTATGATGACCAAAAACCGTGAAATCGGAAATTATGACATACTAATAGTAAGTATTATTTTTTTTAAATATATTTAATTTATTTTACTTACCAGCCTTAAATTTATTATTTAAAGATTCTTAAGAATATATTAAAATAATTAAAGGCATTAGATAACGAAGAGAATTTAATTAAAACGCGTTTATTTCGTTGAAAATCCTTAAAGTGGTCACAAATGAAGCATCGACCTTATGAATTTAATGATGCATGCAAAGAGCGAGCATCTCACTATAGTTCACGAGATAAAGTTACAACGAGGTAGTATAGTATGTATAGTTAGTTGCAAAACGGTTTGGACAAAATAAAGTTAGAAGCTTACGAAAAACCAAAACTGTTAAAATTTAAAACCATTACCGACGGGTTTACGCAGTAATGATATATTTAATGATATAAATAATAATAAATAATATAACTAATAATGATAATTAATAATAAATAATAATAATATCATTACTGGGTCAGCCCATCAGTGATAACTCCCAATTTTAATAATTTGATCTTAACTTTTTTGGCTCTTATTCTGAACTCTCTTTTATCAATAAGAGAACTTTCAAAATAATTCAATATAAACCGGTTTGCAATTAACTATGTATGATATTTTCTACAATAAATATTGTAAGAAAATGAATTCTGAAGAAAAAAGATAAAAACGAAAAAAAGGTTTACTAAAAGTTTCGGACAGAAATATTTCAAGGTTATGATAACATCGCTATTCATCTTCAGCAACATAATTAAGAGCTTTTCAAGTTTAACGTAATATTCTTATGTGGATAAAAAACTGTTCTTGCAACACGGTATTATCGAATCCAATTACCCATTATTTATCTATTAATAAACAAAGACTTAATGTTTATATTGCAAGTTAATCACTGATCATCATAGCATGATCACTCACAAGAGATCTTCATTCGCAAAAGATAAAGCGTCGGTAAATAACTATAAAACGACGATTACACAGCGTCTAATTAGCAACCATGATGAGCCACGGAGCACGAAAGCGAAAGTGTTCAAGCAAGGCGTAACGGACGGACATAGTTCACTCATTCGCTCGCTCGCTCACTCGCTCGCTCACTCGTAGAACTACTTCGCGGATTAAATACCTTTAAGCGACTCGATAACCAGCACACTTTATCGAACTAACTAGTTACCTTGGGTTCTCGAGTTTCGAGCGAAATTTAATCCGAGATAAACATTCGACATTGATAAATAAAGAACTACCTGTTCAGAGAGAATATTTAAACGTTATTTGAAAGATTCAGTTTTATCGATTCAAAAGAAATCAATCTTCTCTCCAGCTGATATAATTAATATCAGATAACTAAAAGTGAAAATTGGTGTTATAATTCAGAATCGAGATTAAACGTAAGCCAATTATCAATAATATCAATATCATCACGAAAATTGCCGTGTAAATGCGAATTTTCATTAGTGTTTCCCTAACAGTGTGTTGTTGTTAACGCAACAGAAAAATATTATTCTACTACTAAAAGAAAAGCAATTACTCAGTTTACTTTCTTTCTTTTAAGTAATGATTATCTTCAACAAAAAAATATTTTCTTGATAAGTCTTAAAATATATTGATCGTAAATTGTAGAAAAACTCGTTTTTTTTAATTCATCTATTGAAAATAGGATTTATTTTTTTTTGCAAGAATATTATAAAATTTTATCAAAAAGAAAGTTGGTTCAACTATTTGTGCTAAGTAAACCGAATTTTTTCCTTAATTTAATATTTTTGCTCTAAATGCTAAACTTATTAAGATTTATAATGTATTTTGAATAATGCTCGTAATAAATTGATGATAGATATATGAACTTATGAAATACTTGAAACAAATAACATCTACTCAAATGCACTATGTATTTTTCTGTACAAAACGATAATAGAGGAGAAAAAACAGAATGCGTTAACTTTACCGAGCATGTAAAGTTTCTGCTGCGAGGTCGGTAAAAGCTAGCCGCGGCCAGCGATGTGGTTGCGTGCGTGAAACGGTCCGGCGATGAAGTGCTAAGTTCGTCTATCGGTCATTATTCTTCACGGGCCCTAAGTACGTGTGCCTGAGTGTAGCCCATGTGTGGAAGACTTCCCCGAGGAATATCGCGGGTGTGAATCGCGTGAACTCGTGCGAGAAGCTCGCGGAGACTCACCGACGTGTCGACGATCGGTGGCCAGGAAAAGTGAAAGTTGTTGGCGGCTACGACTGTGGCGACGGCGATGGCGGCGACGGCAACAACGACAATCGCGACAGGAACACGTTTCAAGCAGCCGCTGTTGCATCCGTTCGACGAGATATCTCGATAGTTTTGTCGTGTGACTTTGTCGAGATAGAAACCGCGGAATCTTCGTTCGCAAAAACGGAAGCCGATGAAAGTGGAAAACGTATCGTATGCGCGTTCGTTTTTGCCGCGCCATCGTCACTATTACCGCGTCGAACAAGCTTCGATCGCGACAAACGTGCGTGCGCATATTCACCATGTGGAACGAATGCGCGTGCCTTTTCTACTTGCAAGGCGAAATTTATGTTCGGCCACACCTCGCTTCTATAACACTTCTTTGATTACGGCGAATTAAAAGCATTAAACATACAACCACATCTTTACTAAGAGGCCATTGCCTCGGTAAAAAGTACGTCTTCTTTTTCTAATTTTTCTTTCAATCCTCTTTCTTGTGAAAAACTGTTCCGTTCTTCGAAGAAAAAAGTTCCGCGGTTAACTTATCTCTATTTATCGAGAAATGCTAATTGTGATAACTTTTATTTTACAAAAGTACAATATGTTCGTTTAAGAAATTAAATTTACTAAACTTTAAGCATTTAGTGAATAAAGTATATGCGTGTTGTATCCATGCTTATACGAATCGCAAATCCGATTTCAAGAAATTCAATTCATTATATGTATATACACATAATGAACATGAAATATAATATTTATTCTTAAACTGCACGCTCCAATAAAGCGAGAAAGTGATATCGAGAAACTAATACTATAAATTAAAATGCTAATTAGCGATAATACTTTTCATCAGTGTCGTCGTGCGACTATTAAATATCATATCAAGAAAATCTTGTTTCTTAGCTGCACGATTAACAAGTCTATCGTCGACCAGATACATGTTTATTAGCGATAACAGGTAAAACTTGGGATTGCAAATTTGTTTATTTACTTGTCGTTTTATTATATAGTCAAGATATTGAAAGTAGAGAAAGATAAAAGCACATAATTAACATTTGCCTGTTATTTCAGGCAAAAGTTAAGTCGGGAAAGCATAAAGAGCACCTTCAAAATATAAACTTAGATAACGAATCTATAATTTTACTAACAACATTGCTATCAAATCGAACAATTAAATTTAAATGTAAATAAATCAAGATGATTTCTCAATGCGTGTGTAACATGCGAGCAATTTTAATAGAAAAAGAAAATCGTTAAGAATATCTTCCAATGTCCGTATTCATAATTAGAGTGGTGCAAAAGAAGCGAACTAGTTGAAAAAATTCATAACTTTTTTAATTTAATTTTTCTTTTCCGTTTACTCTTCAGACCTTACAAAGGAGATCAGAGAAAATAATTATGAGAATATACACGATTACCCAGCGAATAAAAATCAACATTCGATAATACAGATACAACGAGACTATTTTCGTCATTTCAATATAAGAAATCCGTCTTCCATTTCCATGATTAGACGATTTGTGGAAAGATATCAGCAGCAGAATTCAGTAGAGAATCTAACCACGTACTGTCCGAAGTGAAGAGAATATTCAACGTGTACTGGAAAATGTCGAGGAGAACCCATAAACATCAACTGGAAAGCTTTCTTTGAAAATAAAATTCTACACCTAAAAAATTCTATTATTTAGCGGAATCCACTTAAATTAATAATTTATTTTACCTATTATCGCTAATAAACATGTATCTGGTCGACGATAGACTTGTTAATCGTGCAGCTAAGAAACAAAATTTTCTTGATATGATATTTAATAGTCGTACGACGACACTGATCACTTATGAAAAGTATTTTCGCTAATTAGCATTTTAATTTATAGTATTAGTTTCTCGATATCACTTTCTCGCTTTCTTGGAGCGTGCAGTTTAAGAATAAATATTATATTTCATGTTCATTATGTGTATATACATATAATGAATTGCATACATGAATTTCTTGAAATCGGATTTGCGATTCGTATAAGCATGGATACAACACGCATATACTTTATTCACTAAATGCTTAAATTCTATTATTTAGCGGAATTCTAAAGGATTCTCCATATATACGGCTTTATATACGGCCTTAAGAAGATATCCAAGCAACATGGGTGACTGTTTGCTCGCTGACAATCGACTATTTCCAGTCGACTTACAGTCGACTGTGTAAAGTCGGGAATTAGCCGACAATTTTAAGTCTGGTACTGGCTGACTTCAACAGCCGACTGTAAGCTGGCTCACAATCAACCATTTTGAGGACTTTAAAAGTCGTCTCTTGGTTTGCCGCAGTCAACTTATAGTCGACTATGAAAAGTTGGAAATTAGCTATTTCAAAGCAGGTCTTGACAGACGTCAGCATTGCTAGTTCGCCGCTGCAGCGCGCCGTTACACGACCAGCCTTACCCACATAGAACAAAATATCTCATAGACGTATATAATAAATCTATAAATCTATAAATCTATAGAACATCTATGTTTATTGAAGATGTTATCTATATGTATAATATATGTAAATGTAATGTTAAATAATATACGTATATAAGCACAAATCCATAATACATATAAAATACATATATAAAATGTGTATGGAATAATGTACAATTTACAGCTAATAGATATTTCTTTGAGGTATAAACAATGTGCGTAAAATATATATATAGTGGCATATTATTGATGTATGGCATACGTATATAAAATATATATATATATATATATATATATATATATATATATATATATAAGGTGTAGTAAAAAGAAATCCATTATTTTTGCATGAAATTGAAGGCTTTATTTAGCATAGTTAGAATGATCCGATTTAGATCAAATATGCACCGTTTTGTTCGATAACTTGTTCCCATTTTTAAGGTAATTCCACTATGCCTCTCTCATAGAAACTCTTGTCCCTATTGGCAAAAAACTGGGACAGTCGATTTTCACAAGCTTCTCTTGAGGCGAATTTTTCACCAGCAAAATCATTCACCATAGACAGGAACAGGTGGTAATCACTTGCTAGGTCCGGACTATAAGGTGGATGCATAAGAACCTCCCAACCAAGTTCCCGGTGCTTCTGGCGATATATAGCTTGTGTTATTTACAATTAATGTACATATAATATGTTTAATATGTTTAATGAAAATGAATGTTTAATGAATGTATGTAAGATAATATATTCTTTATGATTAACAGACATCTATTACACTTATGTAAAACGTTTATTTTAGGTATATTAACGAATATGTATATTAATGTATATTAACAAATATGTTATATACGAT